CTGGGTGGGCTCTGGCGGCGCGCGCTGTGAAGTGGCGGTGAGCAGCAGGGAGGTGTTTGCCAGCTTCAGCCGAGAGGGAGATGCTTTGAGAGGCCTCCGGAAGAAATCTCGTTGCAAACACTTCTAACCACTTCAGGGAGGAAGTTTTTGTTCCTGAATACTAAGTGGCATCTTTTTGTCTTCCTTAATCACACGGAGGGGACGTTGCTTCCCATACATCTTAAACTTCTGCTCAAGCTGTGCAGCTACTGGTGTTAAGTGAAGACCATCACTATGCTGCACTTCAGCCAGCCAGATATTTCCATGATGAACAGCAACTGAGCTTTGCTTCAAGGAAAGACCTTCCCAGAGCAGCCTACAGCAACACCCCCACCTAGTATCTATTACCGTTCAGGATAACTTTGGACCTGTTACTGTAGTAATAATCAGTACTCACTTCCCTGGGCAGCACACTTTGCTCCTTGTCTTGCAGAAAGATTGCTGCTATCAAATGTCCATGTTCTTCTGGCTCTCCATGTACTTCCTGTACTCAGTGAACCCCAGCAGGGCAAATCTGTCAAAGCCAGACATTTTAACTATTACCAAAAAAAAACAAAAAATCCAAAAAACCTCAGATCAGGTATTGGCATTAGTAATGCTAGACCAGTGATGGCACATCCCATTCAAACTCACAGCCAAGCTGAAAACTGACAGCTTTCTCCTTCTCTTATTTTCTAGTTAGCCGGTAATGCTCAGCGGGGCTCTGTGCCTCAGCCTGCACCTGCTGAGTGAAATGCTCCGCTCTTAGACACTGAGCACATATATCCATAAAGCAGACCTTTCCTTTGGTACAGCTGGATGCAGAAGCCCTGCATAAATGTAGGACATAGACTCTATGTTGTGGAGTTCTCTGAAATTTCCCTGGTTGTCTGGTGAGACATGTGGCTCAGGGTCGGGGGGGCAGGGAGGGGCTGAACACGCCACATTCTTCCACCAAGCTGAAGTGGCAAAGGTAAATACTTTTTCATTTAAGGTTATGGGCTGGACAGCATTCATGAATCTTGTGATCCAGTGGAAGCTGTAAGGAAATCTGAAGCAATATTTATCGGTAAGTTTTACTTCATAGTCCCTGATAAGGGTTTATATAGGGCACTGGATTAGTCCTGCTCAGAGCTGGTACTATAGAGACAACGAAAAATTACTAGAAAGTACAGAAAACAGTACTTTAATTGGGAACAGTAAGACCCTAAATTTAGTGGTGGGGAGGGAAGTAGGAGAGATTTCTTAATAGAACTTCATCTCCACTAAGTTTCAAATTATTAATTTGAACAGGACTTCAGTGTTGAAAACATGATCGTCACAGCTGTGTCATCACTATATCAAGTCTAAGAAGATTCAGGGCTACTGTGCTCAAACAAAGTGTAGTCCTAATGCCATGCCTCTGGGTATTAGAATAGTGTCTGCTGTCAAACAGCCAGCGTCAGTGTTACATGAAGGACTCTGGGCATAAGCCTGTGGCCTGTCCAGTGAGCATTCTTTTGAAGCTTCTGATTTTCTGCTGTTCAAAATAGGATTCTACCCTGAATACAGCATAGAAATCATTAAGCCTCCTAAGTTTGTAAAGGCTTCAATTAAAACTGATGGGGAAAGCATGTTAAATAACCTGGACTCTTTTTTCTGCAGGAGGTGGGAACACATTCCGTCTCCTGAAAGCTCTCTACGACAACAGCCTGATACAGGAGATCAGGAAAAGAGTTCTCGAGGTAAAAACTGCAGGACTCAGGCAAAGTCTGAATGGCAGGATCTCACACATAATCTTTTGTTCAGAGAAATCCAAGTTGATTCTACATCTTTGTTTTTAATATACTTCAAATATTGAGCCATCTCATGCAACCTGGTGAAGAGAAATTTGTGGCGAAATAAGGCGGTCATTAATCACTGAAGTCTGAAAAGACTAAGATCAGAGATCTGTCTTTCTAGGGCAGTTTCCCAGATGTGGGACTGGAAGACCTTGGGATGTACAATGCTGCGTACCCTAGAAGTAAGCCTCTCAACTTAAAATATCAACGAAGAGCAGTGCAGGATTTAATCTATGTCCAGAAACCCTGTTTTTCAGCTTGAGGTGTCCACTTTGTATCTTGTTAATAGATACAGATGTGTTCAAGTTGCAGGTTGTCTGCTAAGAAACTGACAACAGAGTTGGATCCATATATGCCTTTTAGACAATGTTGTGTTGATGTTGAAAATTATGTAATTATCTTGGGTACCTCCTTGACCTGGAATTGAGAGGTATGAGTGCCATTGAGCCCTCCGGTCAGCAGCCCCATTCTGGCTGGTGAATCTCCTAAGGCAGAGCAAAGATACACCATCCATGGAGAACAGAAGCAAGGTGTTCCCCTAGCAATGTGGAACTGCAAATGACTTCAGACAGATTTATGCAAGCACAGTATGTTTGAGAAGGCCAGCGGCCAAGAAGAAAGGTTAGCTGTCTTAATATACAGAAATTCAATGCCTGTTGTGGGCAGAAAAGCCAGAAAATGTTTGAGTCCTAGTGAAGTCTAAATAGCTATTTGGTTATATTAGCACCAGTTCCCTCAAGATAGCTTATTTTTACAAATTGTTCAGCATTATTCATATACTTGCACGTTTGTATAGAATCCTTCCATGTACAGCATAGTACTGTGTACACAGTAGTAATACCTAAACTAGCGCTAAACTGGCTGGTCACAGTCCTAGGAAGCTGATGCTGTGGCAATATTGTACTTGGCTTCAGATGGTCTACTCTCTTCAGAAGCTAGTTAAAAGCTAGTTCAGATATTTCCTGCAACTGCAATGTAGAGAAGTCTCTCTTCTCCTAATAGTGAAGTCCAATATAGGCACTGATAACCCTACCAGTTCTCTCTTGTGATGGGGTCACAGAGTTGTGACTACAGGATATTCAACAGTTAGTTCTCTGGCAACCATGACATACACAAACTATTGCCCACCTCAGGACCTGAATTCTTATTCTTCTGCTTTTCACCTGTAAAGTTAGCAGTGAGATGAGCTAGAAGGACTAAGTCTGATCTGGTTGCTGAGTCTCTGAGATTGACAGAAGATGCTGTAAAATGCAGTTCCTAGTTGTGACACTGCATACTAATCATTGCTTTTGTCTTTCAGGATGGGATTCCTTACATGGGATCCAGCGCAGGAACTAACGTTGCTACCATCAGCATCAATACTACCAATGACATGCCAATTGTTTATCCACCTTCCCTGCAGGCCCTAGGTTTAGTTCCTTTTAATATTAACCCCCACTACCTGGACCCAGATGTTAAAAGCACTCACATGGGTGTAAGTACAGTATGCCAGAGCTAACACAGTAACCAGGGTGCAGAGGCGTAACTGTAGTGTGCATTTGCGAGGCCTTACACAGCTATAGAATGTCTAACAGCTGCTCCCTAGAGCAGTTGGAAATGCCAGCGAGGCTCTAACATTTTACTCCCTCCTAAAGCTTTTCTTTGAGTGGGAAGAGGAGTTGGCAACAGTATTACTGAGGTGGAACAACGTGTTTTTCACAAACAGAAGCTGTGCGATGTCTGAAATACTGTTGCTTCATACCTGGCATGAAAATGGGAGGAGGGGGAAGAGTGAGAGAAACTTGAAATGTTAAGATGCGATGCGCTGTGTTTCTGGAAGGTCCTGCCATAGTCTGTCTTGCTTGCTGCTTGAGAAGACCTAACTTAAACATACATTAAGAGGCTTAAATATCTAGAGGTCTGAAGGAACCATCAGAACAGGGAGATCTTGAGATTGCATGCAAACTTGTTGTGTAAGAAAATACCTAGGCAGTAGCGTCCCTGCAGAGAGCACACCCTGTCATGTCCAGTACTCAGCAAGCACATGTACTAGTATAGCTAAAAGAAAAACATTTTAACCATCGAGCACAAAGACCGACATCTCCACTGTAGGGAGGAGCTGATTTTTGAATACCCTGTCAGGAGCTAATTCCTCAAGGGAGCAGTTTCTGTGGTGCACCTTTTAACAAATCAAATACTTTACACCTTGTAATCAAGATTTCTTCGTTGTTAGAGGAAGTTTTAAGAATTAGGGAGCACTGAAGAGATGGAGGATCAGGACATGCTTCTAGAATTTAGATGAAGTTGTAGGTACTCATTTAATCAGCTTGTCACTAGATAAGCAGGCAGTCTTCTCCCTATAAATAATTTTTGCTGTTTCTCCAAGAGGAGGCTAGAAGCTCTGTGCTGTACCAAGTCCCTGCTGTGTTCCTGTGTTTCCTTACCAACAAATCCTTCTGGTTTGATTTCTTTAACTACTGTTGCTCAGTTCAGCAGCAAGCCCTCAGGAAACATGGCAGGGCTGTTCACAGAAGGAAATTCTTCAGTGTAATACCTACTTGAGGACAAACAAGCAGATATTTAACAAATGGAAATCCATGGTTCACTACCCTCTTTCACGAAGGTGGCATCTCAGGCATTTGCTTCCACCACCTTCCTCAGTGCTCTTGTTCTGAGGATGAGCACACAGAGATAGCATTAAAAAAAAATAAATATGGATGATCTGAGCAGAAGTTTTAAGGCTTTTCAGGGTTGGGATCATGCAAGTTCTTTTTGATCAACCTACAGCAATTGCTGCTAGTGATGAAGGGTAAAACACGTATCTGTTAAAGTCAATCCTGCCACTTCCTTCAATACATTAGTCTAATGAAAACATTCTGTTTGAGAGGAAGTGCCTGCTTTGTTTAATGTTATGAAATTGCTCAGTATCATGCTCCTTGGATAGCTCCAAGTCCTATTTTACTGCCTGGACAGCTAAATCTACACTCATTATTGCAGGAGACAAGAGAGGAAAGAATTCGTCAATATCATGAAGAACCAAACACCCCTCCAGTTCTGGTGAGTAGTAGTTCCCAGTCAGGAAGCTCATGGCTGTACCATGGTCAACATTTGAAATGCATTCTCGCTAGCTTTCCACGTGGGTTCCCCTGCCTGAGAAGTCTTACTGAACTATGGCATGGAAGGCTGATTATATTCTTGCTAAGAGCTTCAACTTTGGATTTTGCTGACTTGCAGAAAATGAGTTAGAACAAATGAAATGCATTCTGCGTATTAGATGCCTGGAGTCCTCTTGCCAAACACTATATTTTAGACAGCTCTGATCTTTCCAGTCACTGGCCACCAGTCATATATTGTATGTTTCGGGTGGTGTGCAGGAAGTTAAGACACCTCCCCCTTAATCTTTTTGCAGATATTTTAACTTTACATTTTGTTTTAATCTCTGTAGGTTTCTGAATTTGCTCATTCAGTAGTATGTTTGTAATTACAGTATGTCTGTCTGGGGAAGTGGGATCTCTGAGTTTCCTGTTCCTGTGCTTGAGCCTGGAGTATAAAGTCTGTGCTTTAACAAACCCAGCTGGCTGTTGCTTGGCTCAAACTGGATCTAAGAATGGTGGCAGCAGAAGTAATTGGGAAAAAAACCCACATTTTAATTTTCTGTTTAATGTTTTCTCCTTCTTTAAAAGGAGAAAAAAAAAAAAGAAATCCAAGAAAAAACAGCTTCTAAAACAAGATAATTCACCTAATTTTGTCTTGGCATCTTTGCTAGAAATAGGTGAGCGAGAAAGTCTTGTTTGGAGTCATGGCAAGCTGCACTAGGACTGGCCTGCTTGTCACAAGCATTCTAGCCTTTCAAATAGCTTGAAAATAATGTTAAATGTTTCCACCTATATTAGGGCTTGCGGGAAGGTGCGATGCTGCTAGTGGAAGGAGACAAAGCCACCTTGCAAGGAGTGACAGGAGCACGTCTGTTTTTGAGGTAAAGGCTTCATTTGAATTTGAATGGGTATCCTCCTTCAGACAGAAAGGAAGAGACACTTCTATTAGACTCCTGGCACACACTGCCTGTCCCCCACAGCAGAAGTTACTTAATCCCTTGCTTCCATTTCTCTTTGGGGAAAACATGAGTGTTGCTTTATGCTGCAAAGGAGCAGGCAGTATGACAGCACTCTAAAGGATGTCTAACTTACCCAGTAAGTGCTATGGCATTACTACATCCATCGATGCTCATGTTTCTGAACTATGGTTACCCTTCACAGAAAGAGCCCCAAGAGTCAGCTCTGTTATTGAAGGCCCGGGAATGCCAGTTTAGCCCTGATCTGTTGAACTCTAGAACAAGGGAACTCATGTCTTTAGTAATACAAACATTACTAAGAAATCTAATATGCATGTCCCATGATGCAGGCAAGGAAGGGAATTGTTATGAATGCTTGTTATGAATAAGGATGCCTTGTTGTATCCCTAGTAACAGATGGAAGCACAGTAGTCCTAGCTCCTGTTAAAGCTCACAGCATGGTTTGTCTTGTTTACAGGGGTAAGAAACCAACTGAACATGAGCCTGGAACAGACTTCAGTTTCCTCCTGATTGACAGTAATCTCCAGAATCTGTAGCCTTGCATATTCTGCAGCAAGAGTCACTATATGGAAAGACAATGAGGAGGAAGGAAAGAGATGCTTCTAGTCCCAGGGTGGGTGGAGAACCTTAGCTTTATAAATAAAGATAAATATGCATTAGTGGGCTCTTTTTCCAACCCTAATTCATGTCTCAGACATCTCTGCTTCCCAGCAAAAAGACAATTTTTATTGCAATACTTGAGTAATCATAGCTATACTTAGCCTGAAAGGGCCTTTGTATCCACTTTGATTCCTTAACCACCAAAAAAAGTTACTTTAACACAATTAAGACAGGACACTGAATCAGCTGTTCCTGCTGCTTAGGCTTTACCTGCTAAATGAAAGAATTGTTCATTTAATGTACTCCCACATTATCAGTTTTGTTTTTGCGCTAGTAATAAAGGGAGAAGTTATGCATTCAATTACTTTTATTTGCTTCAGAGTCATGTTAAATATATACAATGCTAATTATGTACAAAAGTGTGCATGTTAAAAATTGTCAGGTTACAAACTTGCAAATCCTAGAAAAGTGCAAAATTTTAAAACATCTTCCACCATGCTGTACAGAAAAAAATCCATCATTAGCCAATATACACACTCTTAAAACATACTGATCAAAACAAAATAAGACATACAGTATACTCTTAAAGCACCCAGAAGGGAAAAAGATATTGCACAGAAGACTGACAGCAAGTTCATTACAGTGCCTGAAGGCTCATTTTTGAAAGTAGGTATTTCCAACACTCCTCAGACCTAACATGTAACTCTTAAAAAAGGCATTTTTTGGCATTTAAAAATCCATTTGTAATCACATAATTGCACAATCTGTGAGAATTATCAGAAGATATGATTAACTGTTGTTGTAAGGCCTTTGTTTCCACTCCCCTCCTTAGCTTTACTAAAAATTCATCAAGCAAACTGAGTGGCATCACAGCTTCCATCTGACCAAAGGGAGGTAAGTCTTACAAGCAGCATTTCTCTAATCTTACATTAAGCTGCTCCTGCATAGTGAAGGGTTGCATCAGAACATGTATCGCAAGTTTTCCTTGAATTTTTTTTTCCCCCTCATGGCTTTCTTTAAGCAAGAGCTCACAGCTACATATGACTAAAGCAGTACTGTCAGGTGCAAGACTAAGTTTCTTTTAAAAAGTTACTTCAAGGCAAAAAATATGGCTCCCTCAAGAGGAAAATACTGACTAGATAGGAAGCCAAATAAACAAGTGGCCTCTAAGTTCAGTTAGATCTATGATATATATGGCTGGATGTTTTATATTTCAATCTCAAAACACCTTAGCAGCTTTAAACCATGATCTATACTGACAATCGTGCTTCTGGGACAGAAGACGTTATGAAATTGTGTCTGTGCTGAGTATAATCACAGACCTAAGCTCTGCCAAATTTCCCGAGTCCAGTAGACGAAAATAGAAAGAACACACAACTGAAAGAACTCTCTCCTGAAGAAAAGAAGTGAAACACCTATTTTATCTGGGCTACTTGGGTAAATGGTAACTAAAAGAAAGACGCACCAGTTTTCTTCCACAGATGCACAGCAATTAGGTGAATTAAAACTGAACAAAGCGTACCTTTGATTAAACACTACTAGCAGTTCCTCACGTATGGGGTGTTCAAGACTGCAGTAAAATGAACAGCACTCGACTCAAACTGTGCAGAGCATGCTATGCTGCCACTCAGAGGCATTTCTGCATTCAGGCATCTGATGACTATAATATGAAGAAGGGGAGAACAGTATTTTACCTTTTTTTTTTTTTAACTGCAGTAGCTTTTCAGAAAACCCTTGCTTCCTTTAAATGTATGTGCTAACAAGGGCAATTAGTAATAATAAGGAGAATTTGGCTCCTTGGGATGGAAGGAAAGACATCTTCCAAACACTTCAGCTGAGTCTAACATTGGTATACAATAAACCTATGTGCGTATGACTATACAGAAACTATTACTCTCCCAAAAAGGAGACTACTAACAAGTGTTATGTTCACAGCTGAACCTGACATAGCTTTTAAACCAAAAAGTATGAAAAGCCCATTCTAGAAAGCACATGCTTGAATGTCCACCCAATTAATATAGCCCGATGTAGTGCTTTCATCTAGCAGTATTTATCAGATCAGGCCTTAGGTTCACATCAGGATATGCATGTAGATGTGCTTTTTTTTTTTTTTAAATTCTTTTGAGAGGAAAAAAAAAATATTCACAGCATCTAGCCTCAGCATCTAAGTATGTAGCAAGGTGCCTTTAAGAGTGGATGAGAAGAATACCTTCAGGTGACAATACAGAGCAAGTGTTTACACACTCTCAATGTAGTAGCAGAAGGAGGCTGATACCTCCTCTACTCCTCTCCCTAGCTCTAAGGCTCCCTACCGTACCATGATCTGTATATAGATACATTTTCAACTAAATACACATACAGAGTAAAAGCTTTGTGAAGCATTTGGTTGCTTTACATATATTTTCTAATGATTTTGTTAATTGAGATTGGGAAAGACTTGCAGAAGAACCAGGAATGAGGGAGACATTGTCTAGGGAAGTGATGTATACAGTTCCCATTGACAAAGACGAGTTAAAAGGCCTACCTAATTATCGTGCATTACAAATAAAAATAAATTTATCATTGCTGCAGGACTATCTTAAAGCAGACTGATGTAGGACTGTTATCAGTCTCATACAAAAATTCTACAGTGCAGAAACTTAGTTCTTTGCACTTTATTTAAAGGATGCAGAAACAGAACTTTAAAGAAGATGCTCAGGAAATAGCCAAATGACGAGTCTATTTAAAGCCTGTGAAGATTTTTGATAAACCTGTTCTGTGATAATATTAATGATCTAAGGTATAACGGGGGAAAAAAAGCCTGTTTATATCAAGGTTGCAAATTAGCAAAACCATTGTAATATGTGTGTGTTACTGTGTTGTTTGTTTGTTTGTTTTCCTTTTTAAATCAAACAGGCTTCCTAAAACCTAATTTCCACAACATGTATTAACCATCAGGAGAAGTGGCTAGTTTAAGATTGGGATTATTATATTGTGCTGGTGTTGGTAAGGTACATGGATGATAGAAGATGTGGCTTCTAGATATCTTATGAGCGAGGATATAGAATAATTTGCGTTCAGGTGCTAACTTGAACAGCAAACATTTCACTTTCTGAATGCTCGTACAGTACAAAAACTGCACAGACTAGATGAGATTCTTCACTATAGATAAGACAACTAAAAATACTATCAAGAATTATAAGTGAAATGATAAAGAGAAATTTTAACAAACATTTTACTTGAAATAAAGGAGAGGCATCTTCTAAATATCATCCTTTGGTATGCAAACTGCTAGGAAGAAGTTATTCAATACTGCTAACTGCTTGATCTCATTTATATACAGGTATGAAAAGAGAGTCAGTTCTCAGTTTCTTTTAGATATATATATTTACACTCCTACTTACTTACTCAGCTTCAAAGGTCAGCATATCATAAACTTCAATAAATATCATTAGGGTTGTTCCAAAAATTAAATGTAAGAAGATATCAAGTAGATCTTGACAAATGTAGTGTTATGAAACAACTGTCACTTAAGACTTGTTTATTCTGAATTCTTAATCAGAATTCTCTCATCTCACAGCTTTACTTTTTACACTTAAATAAATCATAGTTCAAAACCAAAGGAGAATCTTATTATTTTTATGAAAAAAAGATGTGATCCTAAACTTTATTGACTTGAGGAAATCAAAGAATTATGAAAGTCAGTTCACTGATTCACAGTGCACTGCATAACAGACTGCAATTCAACCAACCTAAACAGCTGATCAGAAAAAATATTGTCTACTTTTAAACAGGACTTATACAAATAAGTTAAAACTAAAAGAAACAACATACCAGCTAATGCTCACACTTATCACCTGTATCTTTTATTTAAAGCTGGTTTTAGATAAAGGCAAAGTGCAGACCTTCAAACCTATGGGGGGGTCTTTCCAGAGGGCCTCTGGCAAGACCACTGAGCGCGTGATGGTGTATGCCTCCCATCCTCAAGGACCAGATAAAAGATCAAAAGGCAACGGATGTTGCCATTCTGCGTAGAGCATGAAGCAGCTCAGAGCTCACCTGTTTCCCTCCTCATTCTGCTGCTGCTTTGTGTGGAGCACAAACTAGCCCCAAGTTTGAGAGCCCAAGAACTGTCCACGTTTCAAACTGTCCCAGATATTTGTGAAGATCACCTAATGCTTGTGATGCGCTGAAATGATGGTATTCAAATGTCAAAGCTCTTCACCGTAAACTTCCCCAATTATTGCAACTACGTTATATTTTTACTTAAACTGACACAGTGTATTCAGTATTCTTTAATATTAAACTACTAAAAAAATTAATTCAACTGTTGTATAAACCTAACCCACAGTAGGACATTTTCAAACCCTTATGCAAACCCCTCTGTGCAAGTGACAAAAACCCACTATGCTCTCTCCAAACACTACAAAAAGACCTGTACCCTCAATTTTTCCACTTGATTCTGCTAGCCCAAAACATCACAATTTCCTGTCCCCTTCCCCTGCAAGTAAACACTTAACCTCATATACGCATTTAAACAGAACATACAAGCATACTTATAAAACCCATCAACTCAATGCCCCAAATGAGTTTTTTTTCAACTTCCTATAATACAGAAATCTCACATTCTGAGCTGAAATTCTTCTAACCTACTCTCAAAAAAGCTCCCCTGAAATCCTTTCTTCATGAAATCATAATGGACAAACATACTTCACATTCTCATATACACACTTAATACTTTCAGAGTATCCTTAGTATTCTTACTGGATAGGTAATTGATTAAAAATAGTGTTTTCCTTTTCTCTATAGTTTATTTGAAAATATGGGATGTGGTTTTTTCACATACATGGAGTCCGAAAAGAAACCACACCACTCTACTTTTGGAAATGTAATGCTCTCTTAGTTAGTTAGGAGTTAAAGTTAGGAGAAAATTATTTATTAACTTATTAAAGTTAGGAGTTAAAGTTAGGAGAAAATAATAATTTCTTTTCTCCTAACTCTTAGGAGAAAATAATAATTTCTTTTCTCTTAGGAGAAAATTATTATTTTCTCCTAACTTTCCAGACAATCCAGTCTGTCACAGTAATTAGTTAGAATATTGCAACTGTGCATAGACCCACTTGTTCACTAGTCTGATTTATTATTTCATTTACAAAAGTTAAGAAAAAGCAACACAACTTTCTTTACACAGCACACTAATCAGTCATTAAGAGGGATATTTTTGTTTTCCAGTAAAGAAATTGAGGGGGAGAAAATAGTTTTAATGAGACTAACAGAACTTGTAAAGATTATCCTTTTGCAGGGTAAGGAGGTATCACTATTTCTACAAAGTTAATAAATATTGTGCTAAAAGTTAATGAAATGAGATTATACATTATGGAGTTCCTCAGGTAGTTCAACAGCCCCCTGGCCACAGGGAATATCTGATAACATTTATAGGAGATTCAACACACATTCATTTCCATAAATAAATAAAAATAACAAGAAAAGTGATGGTAAAGGGAAGAAAGGGGTAGCCAAAAAGGGAACATACTAGCCAACAACCACTTACAGCCCTGCCTTATATCTATACTCTCCTTACCCCATGGTATTTTCTCATTTTAATACACATACATACATGTATATACACATATATACACAAACATACACACATATATACACATGCACACATACCTTCGCATGCCGATCCAAAAATTCATATTTTTCCCTCAGCACCAGGCTTTTCCAACAGAATGGGGTTTATCATTTAAATCATTAACATTATAAAAATGTCACAATGATAGGAAAACACAAAAACTTCTATCATCATCCCGTATCACTAAACCAAAAAAATTCAGTAATGGCTTCTCCAAAATATAGCATAAAATCCATAAGTATTTTGTTGGATATAGCACGTGTAAGGATCTGGTATTTTCTTTTCCCAGGTCTTAAAGACATCTTGAAAATGTATACATTATCTGTTTCCCTGCTGTTTTTACGGAAAAAAAAAAAATACGGCTAACAACTGGTTTGGTGAACACCCAGCCAAGAAACAAACAGGTGCTATTTAATCAAATTGTACTGCAATGTTGTTAAAATGATTTTGCAGTGGAAATTTATCCTTTTTTTGCCTTACTAATGAAGCAGATTGATCTCTGATCAATATAGATACTGATTCTTCCTCTGTGTTTCTTCAAGATATTAAATATATTATGGGATTTCTTGGTGTGTGTCTTAGTCTACTTAACAATATAAATAATTTTCAGCAGCAAGTATTTCCTACCTCCTTCAGCTCCTTCACCTCCTTTGAAGTTATTCATGTCTGTACTTTAAACAATTCTGATAATCAAGTAGTGCAACACAGGTGTTCCTTGCAGAACAGCCTAAAACTGGAACTACACAAAACAAGATAGCAATAGCCATTTCCAGGAACAAATTACAATAAATTGTTCATTGGGCTAAAAACATATTGAAAAGGCCATAACTGTCAGCTATCCCAATTTGGAATGTGACCACTGCAACTGCCAGAATTTTAATTTACTGCTGGGGAATTACAAAGCTGTCAAAGCAAAGCCAGATATCTTCTTTGTGATCAAGGAGCATCTGGCCCTATTCAGCTTTAAATCAAATGCTACTTATCTTAAATTCAACTAGCAATTTTGGGTTTGGAGGTTTGGGGTTTTTTTGTTCAGTGGTGTTTTTTTTTTTCTTTTTTGTCTGAAACAGGTTTAGCAGCTATTTAGAGAGGGATTCTGTGACCAAGTCAACACAGTTAAGGAAAAATATGCAAGCAAGCCAACTTGCATGAGTACATATGCTTATTACTATACCTCTACCATAGGTTCATCTTCAACTGACTTAAGAATCAAGCCCCTGAAAGCTGAGATATACATTTAAAGTGACCAAAAGATTAAACATGTTTCTGGAATCCATGAGAGACCGTAGAAGCAGCAATCACTTGGAATCTTGAGTGTTATATTCAGTCTCTCCTGATGAAATCTGGCTGAGCCGTTTGCTTGATCCCCACAGCTTTCGGGAAAGCTGACCTGAGCGCATCTGTTTAAAAGTAATTCAGAGAAACAAAAGGAGGGGGAAGGGATAAGGTGGATAAATTAAAAAGGAATTCAGACACTGATTCTGGTGAAATGCAGACATTACAATGTACTGCATAAAGAAAACTACACCAACAAAAATTATTTGAAAACAAACCAAAAGTTACACTTAGGGATGATTCTTGGGACTGACAAAAACCAACAGACAAAACACTAATCACAGTCTTCTCTGATTTTGAACAGTTAAAGGGATCTTGCCAAGTAATGCATACTTAATACTTAACCTACTTCAAACAGCTTAGAAACAGCGTTTAGATTGCTATTTTGATAGGAAGGAAAAAGGAGGTGAATGTCAAGCAAAAATGAACCAAATTAGAAGAAAGAACATTTTATTTTAGAGATTGCAAACAGAAATTGCTAGAAGTGAAAAGGAAAAGATAACCAAAATGCAGGGCAGTGATGGCAGAATGAAGGAAAGAGAGAAAGGTTATCTCCTGGTGTCAAATTTATACAGTCTTCCAAAGATTCTGGGTGAAGTGCTCAGAGTAAAATTTAAACCAGAAACAATTCATACTGAATATTCCATAAGTAAAGACAGATAACAAGCATCCAGAGGCTATATTAAATCCAGCATCTGGTAGGTCTGCAATCTGACAACAATTTGTAAGAAACTTTTAATTTACTCCTTAAGTAGAGGGCTTATGATTGGCCAATAGCGATCAGCCTGGCAGCTGATTTCATAAACTAATGAAATTCCTTGAAGTTTATTAAAGAAGATGCTTGCCTCAGGTTTCGGAACAGTTCTCAGCAGTTAGTACTACAAATCAAGCATGCTTATGAACTGTGTTCTAGAAAAGGCACAGAGCTGACAAGGATTAATACTAACAAGTGATAATCCCCCAGACTTCTGCAACATTCCAAACAACTAAGTAATTGTTAAAAATAAAACCCCCATTTATTATACTTTACTTGATACTGTCAATGCAGAAACACTAAAGGCCAATCTTAATACCAAGCAGCATTTCACTTCATGCACAATAAAGGTCGGTCTCTCCCTTTATCCTAAGGATCAGTATCACCACCAAAAGCCAGAACTACAACACTACATTCTGTAGAAGGATAAAATTCTAGTAATTAATGTATTCCTTCCAAACTACAAATAAATCAATCAACAAATAAATACCCCACATATACAGGCTTTTCAAATATATTGCCATTATAGAAAACTAGAAAATCTGGGACATAATGTTATTCTTTATATCTTTGTGTCTTTTTTTAAAAAAAAATCTATTTACATTGATATTAAGAGCTTGCAGATCATCTGAATTATAAACAGAAAATCCTGGGGGGGGCAAGGTCATTGGAAAGCCTCTACGTTCTTAAAAGGAACCCAGTCTTTGAAACAACACTTTCTCCATAGTTAGAAAAATAGATGTGATTAAGAACTGAAAAAAAAGAAAACAAGAAGCCTTTAGTCTAACGAGATACATAAATTTCAGTCTACAAAAGATCTTTTCTATGGAATAGGAAGTTTAGAAATGACAGGAACTTTAAAACTGCTGTTACAAACATATGTTTAACCACATCATAAGCAGCTCTTTGTTAATTCTACGGTAGGAAAAAGCTGTCCAACTGGAAGCCAGGGAAACTTCCCTTTCCCATTGCTGCAAGCAAAATCAGACTACCATTGTGTGAAGCCTTTTTCAAATATTAAACTATGTATCTCCTAGCTAAAACATTTTAAAATACCGGCAAATAAAGTCGCTCTGTTTTCACAATTAAAATATAAAATTAAATTAAGACACACTTTTCTGGCATGTACTAAAGGTCATGCAATAGTGATATCACATTTTCAAATAAATACACTGCAGCACAACAGAGATTGGGTTATGAAGAGAAGGAGGTTTAAGCTAACGCAAGTACTTTGAAAGTCATGACAAGAAGTACTTAAAGCAAAATCTATGTTTTGCACAAGAAAAATTGGGCATAGCTATTTGACAGATGGATGCTCTGTATTTGATATTGCATATGCAGTACCAACAAGTTTATATTCACCATATGGAGCACAGAGCATATTGGGAACCTACACAAGTGATTCTTCTTTGTGCATTGCAATTAGACTCTTAACATAAAGAAGCCATTTTTTTTTTTCCCCAATGTCAGTCAATGCATATTAAAAGACATCGGACAGAAACCATAAAAATAAATTAAAAAAAAAATAAAAATCAAGAAAGTCGCTTGCTCTCTTTTGTTTCCAATTTTCTTCTGGAAAATTATTTCATCAAGAAGTGGCTGACAACACTATCATGTTCAGAAAAGGTTAGCTACTATGAATTTGCTTATTCAGATGTGAGTGAAAGTCTGGAAGTTAGTCCAGCTGAGCTTCCCATCTGCGATCCCTATATACCTTTGATTCTTAATGAGAAATTTCAGTAGAGCAGTCTCAAAAGTTATTTCTTTCCCACTGAAAACTGAAACTTGCTCTTAAATTTACCCTGCCACAGAGGAGACCTCTTGCTCAACTGGAAAGCAGAAATAAGTGAACTTCCCACTGTTCGGTAGAAAAAGTTCTTGATGGTAGGTTTTACCTCTGCTGGCTTGCCAACACCAACGATAATCAACTTGCCGTCCTCCAAGCCAACAAGGATGTGGCTGTACTCTTTGGTGACAGAAATGCAATGAATTGGCAGTCTCATGGCTAAGGGGGAGATGCTCAGACTCAGGCTGAAATGAACAAAAACCACATAGAGAAAGCACATCACGTATTTGTTTGCACATACTCCAAAGAATCACACTGCAGTTGAAATTGCCATCCACAGGATGCACTGTAAAACATAGCTTCTCAAAGATCCAGTTTGCAATTTCAATTATTGTAAACTCCTAAGGAACCATCTACCCCAGAATAGAGCTCCAATAACATGAAAAGGCACGGATGGGTAAGTCAGTAAATTAAGACATTTTCACTAAAGAACAGTAACATTAGTCCCACAACTGCCCAAGTGACAAAGATCACTCCTATTCTGAGGAGCAAAGGAGCTCTACAGAGCATAGCAGTAAGTGGAGTTTAAAACGGTGCAGAACTGCATGAGGCTTGATCCTGCAGTTGCTGATCTCCCAGTGACTAGTCAGACATGGGGACAATCACAGCTACCAGATGTCAGACACAACTCTTCCTAAATTCTGTCACTTCTAGGTGTATAACTGGGATAAATGCCTGGGAATAAAGGGGGCAGTACACCTCTTATTTTTCTTTTCTCCCTATCTTAGTTCCCCCTTGAAAGAGTTTTTTCAGGAACACAGAAAAAAGTGCTACCACCTCCAGCATCAAGCAAAGTCCATGTTACACAGCCATTTCTCAATAAGCCGTCATATTTGCATCTCAATAAATAAACTGATGGTGGTACATTACCTGTAGAGATCCCGTATGGAAAGAAATCCCTGTAAGCTGCCCATCACAATATACTCTCCAGTCACACACATATCTGACACTTCCTCCTTCAGAGTCTCAGAACCCAGATATTTTCCATTGACAGAATAGAGATGTAATGCATTCTTATCCTGAATAGATCAAAAATAGAACTGTCACAGAGTACTGACTGGATTAAGAGTGTATTATTTGTATCTTTAACTCACTAACAGGACCTAACTTGGGCAATAACCCACAGATAATATTGCTGACAAGTTTCTTAGTTGAATGATACAAGACTACTGAGCCTACCTGCAATGTGTATGCATACCAGGTCCTATATGGAAATTTTTTAAGTTATTCGTTGTTACCTCTTGACGTAACACGGTAACGTCTTACCTATCCATCTAATCAATTCCAAATTTTCTAGAAACATCAATGGATTTAATAGACAGGACCCTATTTTATAAGGATTTTTGTTAAGCAAGAAGAAAGGAAGAGCGCACTCTTATCTTCAGCCCTGCTGTCACCCTCCCTCCTCCCCACCCTACATTGAAAAGCAGAAGGAAATAGGTATCATTCCACAGAGCTAGATCTAGAAGCATCTTCTGGACAAGGCAATGAATTCTTGACAGATCAAAGATGCAGCTAACACAACCATCTTAAGTTCTTCCAGCCTGACAATACCTTGGTCTCTTCTGTCCCCATCTTCCCAATGCAGCTAGCATGCCTACATCCAATAAATTTGTGTTCCAAGAAACTTCCCGTGCTCATGGAAATCATAACAGTTCTACCGTTACTGAAGCAACTACACAGCTACTCAATAAACAGAGTAAGTTACCCTGTGAATCTTATAGCTATCTCTCCGATCCAAAGCTAAGAAACATCAGTGTAGTCACGGGGCATCTTGCACCCAGAACTTACTGCTCTCCCCTTATAAGCCTCTGGTCCTGTGCACAGTGGAACTTGTTTACTCTAGTTTTCCATTTCAAAGCAGCTCTCCCAGGAAGATTCATTAGCACATGCTCGGGCATGTGCTTGCAGGTGTTTGGAGATTTTCATGAAACTTACAGAAGCACAGTATGTCTGTGATTTATCTTTTAATCAAATTTCAATCAAATCAGCTAGCAAAATAAAATAATAAGGAAACAGACACAGCATGCTCAAAAAATCTCATAGGAAATAAGGACAGAGCTAGGTACATTTATGATTAAAGATTTTAGCAAAAGAAACAGAGGTATCCCATGAACTTAAGTACCTTAAGAGTAGTCTTTCCTTCTACGCTGGTGTGGACAACTATATGGCCTTCCCAGGACACGGCCAGATTGGGAACAGTCAGCAGGAGAGAACTCTCACAAGGTGGTCGCAAAGTCCTCACGTACTGACCTTTCCGAATAGTGCGGACAATTACAGTCCCATCCTGCAGCAACCAAATTTAGGTAAGTTGTTACTCAGCAGGTAAGTTACTGCAACACACAGAAAGACTATTTAAATACAGAGGGAGTATTTTGAAAGCACTTAAATCCTTAACTGGAGATGAAGACTCCTGAGCATTAGGAACTCTACACAAAGAAGCCTTCCCCTCAAGGCCATGTACTATAGGCATAAGAAAAAACAAATGCAAACAGGGCAAGAGCGGAACGATAGGCAGCAAATCAGCCATTTCACAGGTCACATTTATGAGTGCAGAGTCAGAGTTCAGAAACCTGCCAGTGTAGTACAGTAAAGTAGTGCACAGGTAAGCTGCACACGACCTTCAGGGTTAAGGCAGCAGGGAAGAAACTGTCACAGAATTGTTTTCATGAAAAGCTTAAGATTTCCAAATAAGTCCACACACATTAAAGCTCATCTGTGCAGAATAACAGAACATGGTAGCTGAGGCCTATGCTGTGCAGAGCAGTTTGAGACAGCCTGATTTAAGCAGGCAGCAAGGGAGATGGCACAAATCTTCGTGATGCGCAAGGCTGAAGAAAAAAAAAAATCATTAAACAGTCACATTTGTTATATTATTCTTAACCAACTTCAAATACGCTCTATGGTTTGAGTGGAGAAGAGGCAAAGAAAGGAAAAATATGAGGGTGCTTACCCTGGATCCTGACACTGCCATATCCAGCTCAGTGCTGATGCCAACACTCGAAACTTCATCAGTATGCCCATAAAGGATCTGTAATGGCTTAGGTGCCAGGCCTACAGGCACTCCTCCCTGAGAGTAACAAAAAGTGCAATGACACATTCTCTTGCAGCTGAAGGACAAACAAAAAATAAATTTCTGGTATTTTCAGTATCAGTTGTGTGATATGTATATTTGACATAGGCCAAAACCAAAGGCATAACTCACCCATTCCAATTTCAATTTATTGCCTATTATCTCAGCAGCCCTATTTACTGAAATCACAAGAAGGAATGAACATACAGTTACTACGTGAATGCGAAAGACAGAGTTACTTAGCTGACTTGTTTCTATCCCTTCAGATGTCCAGTTGTGCAAGAACCACAGTGAGCCCTAACAGGAGTTGTTCACCCATCCATCCACTCATTTTTTCTTCACCTGTGTATCTGGGCTTGCTCAGTTCTTACAGTTTACCCTGGAATTAAGCACTATCTTCACAGCCAAACTTAAAGAATCTGAAAACTATTTTGCTTAAAATTACAGCAACTCTCTTCCATTTTCTAAGGAAATAATCCTTCTCAATGAGTACCAGTAGTACGATATGGAAAGGAAATCCTGCAATAATGCTCATTAAAAATAGCTATTTTCCTACATGACTGCAGGGTATCCAAATTATTTAGTACTTTTGTTCCAGTGAGTGTTCTGTCAGCATATATGGACTTAGTCTCAAATCAGTTCTAAGGCAAGACCTGTGCTTAGAGAGAAGGTACGGTAAATAGCTCTGCAGTGGACTCATTTCTGTGATAGAAATTTGACTGCCAACCAAGCCCTGAAAGCCTGAAGCACGCAGTAATGCAGAACAAGTGTCAAAATACAGAGCTGAGAAAGAAGGTGACAATGCAGAGCAGACAAGTAGAACGGAAGTGACAGTATGCAGTCCATTGCTGCCACTTTGTAAAGACCAAGATAAAACTCTCACAAGAAGAATTTACAATACATACAACATCAAAAATATATCCATTAAATAAAAAAATACATTAAAAATCTTAAGAAAAAGCAATTCTAAACAAAGATAATCTCCACAGGATGACTTCTTTAACTCGCACTGAAAAGATAAATAAACTAAAAAATTTCTAACTTTTATCCTCACTTGAGACAAAAAGAATACTGTTGTGAGCACTAAGGTCTCACCTTTTTGACCATGTATCATTGATACAAAGTACTTCTTGGAAAAAATTATAAATACTCCCACCATAAAGACCACTTCCACAAAAGCACACGCAGTTATGCACCACTGTACTGGTTTAATGCGCTGACTTCAGTTCAACTCTAGGAATAAGGTGACCTGACCAAATGTACTGTCCACAACATGACAGTTCCTGCCTGCAGTTAATCCTACTTGTACGCTTGTAACTCAGCAATCAGAGACAAACATTTTAAATGCATAACAATGAAAATAACCCCACATTTTCAGTGTAAGTAGACACATGCATCACACAACCACTTTCATAGTGTGAAAGCACAGGACCAATATCAAAGAATTCTAAAACGCCATCATGAATCCAGGTAACAGACTAGCGTTATCTTTACTAACTCCTAGTAGAGTCATCAGTACTTCACACAGAGGAAACGCAACGCTAAAATGCAAGTACTGGAGTCAACAGCAGCTTAGAAATATAAGCATTGTTTTGACTAATTCTGGTAGTACTAAGTAGTGTCACTCTTCCATTCTCCCCTCTGTACAATGGGGGATAACATTTGCCTATCCTGAAAATATCTATGAAATCTTTAAGAGCGCCTCTAAAACAATGTACTTCAGCTATATAGTAACTAAGGTGTATAGTGAGTATTTCAAACATAGAAGACAACAGCAGTAACAAAATTACTAAGCTAATCAATTTTAGTGGACTACCTTCCCTGCAAACCTGAAAGAAAGGAAATCAATAACCATCATATCGAAACAGAGAAGCACAAAAAAGCATTCAGAAACTGCTTCTCAGAGTATGCTTACATAACCTACTTACTGAACTATTTGCCATATCATACAGGTAGTATCTCTGGAGCCTGAAATTAAATGAATTCCACAGTAGTCTATTGCCAAGCAGGTCACAATATCTAGGCAAAGGAAAGAAAATACATAGAATTTAAGACTAATTTCCCATACAGTGACAACGTGCATGCAATATGTCAACGATGCATCCCGATCTGCAGTCAGCATGAAATGTTTCACTTTGATAAGGGCTGATGAGACTGTATTAAACAATGAAGTCATGGTACAGCCAGGTGTACCCACCTGACTTAATTAGCTTTGCGACCTAAAAACAGCAGTCAAGCCTTATTTTGATACTAGATTAAACCATCACTACAATGACTAAAAAGCAATGTTCAAGTATTTATATATAATCATGGTTTAAGTATTCCTCTGTTCTTAGGCTGCCATTCCTTTATAACTGATATGCTTGTCTGCCCAGGTGCACTGGCTGTAATTCTTTCCCAAAAAAACAAACATCAAGTTACAATACATAAAACCATTCATTTCACAATACAAAGAGTTACTAACCCATGTGCCTGATGTGCTGTCCAATCAGCTTGCCTTTTGTAAGAGATGTCACTCTGATGCTATTGTCCCAGTGTCCTCCACTAAAGAGCAGTTTTGCATCATGGGATACTGCAAACAACTTAGAGGTGATCTCCAGCCCCGGTGCAAAAGGACCACTCATGTTGCGTTGCGTTCTGTAGGCAAACGATGAGCAGTTAAAAGTAACCTTAGTTCAAATCAATGTACTTTGCACTTCCTATATCCTTAAAAATGAATAAGAAATTCCATCCATAGAAGAGGCTCTATCTAAAAAAAATACAATAGGTGAAATTTTGGCCCCCTGATATCCATGGTAAAACTCTCACTGCCATCAGCAAGTGGAAGTAAGATTTCACCTTAGATCTTTTCAGTCTTTTACGCAATTTGATTCTTGGTAATTCATGTCCCTACTAAGTATTAACAGTAAACAAAAAAAAAGGAATCTTCTAAAAACCAAAGAAACAAAGCCACCACATGTACCTGCACTGTAGCGTAAGAAATTACGAAGACAGCCCATCACAGAGTCAAAGATAAGTTTTCATGATTGAGAATTAGAAAAAACTATAGAAGTAGCTCTAAGAATGAAGAACCCCGAAATGCAACTTACATGACTCTTTAATAAACAGTATTACAGATTAGAGGTAATATTACTGAACATCAGAAGATGCATTCAATGAAAGCAGTACAATCCACTGACTGGTGAACAATTACTGTATTTTATCACTGTTGATGCATTCATCTGCACCTCTCCTCGTCATTTGCTTACTTTGGATTTGTCACTGTGGTATCTCTGATGAATGTAAAATAGTTGGAGATATTTTTATCATAAGGTAGCCAACCATGAGTTCCAATAACACAGTTCAGACTTGCCGTTACCTAAAAAATGTTTTAAGAAAAAAAAAAAAAAAATTGGTGAAACCCAGAGGCATATTTTCTGCTTGCCTTTGATGGTAATGGAGCTTGCTTAAAATCCAGTGTAGGCTTCTTGAGAATTTAGCACAAAGAAAAAAAGCAGACACCCCCTACTCTCACAGGTTAAAAAAAAAATAAATATCCAGCTCAGATGAGTTAATCCACGTGATACATATTAACAAGTTAAAATAGTGTATGTTCCAGATGGGTCAGTTAAGCTGGGGGGAGGGGGGAGGATGGACGAGACAGAAAAAAACAACCAACCAACCCAAAAAAACCTCAGCCATTCAACCCCTCTCAAACATTTATTTACAATTCAGTCATTCAGTTTAAGCTGCTTCTTCCATTCTTTGAAATAGTAAGCATTAATCATTAACACATTAACACAGGAAGTTTCAACAAATTATACTACAGTTCTGTTGCTGAGAAAGCAATGAATCTAAATATTCGAGGTTATTTTCATCAGATATTTAGGAAAAATACAATGAGAATTTTAGACATGTCCAAATTCCAAACGACATATGCGCATACCACATTAAGCCAGGACAATCAGTTTGACCTATAAAATAGGAATATTGGAAAAGAATTTTCTTTCCTGCAAAACACAGGTATTATTGCACAGGGACCAGTATGCAGACCATACATACAGAGGTACATACAAAACCACTCTCCTCCTTTCATCATTTGGCCATCTGTCATCGTACCAGCACCTGTATTAGTCAGTGCAAAAGTTAATTTTAGGAACAGTGCAGGCCTTTGTAGTGTGTGTATGCTACATACTGTATAGTTTAATATATGGGTTGGAAAGTAATGATAAACATAATGATGCCATTAATAACTTAATCCTGTCATTTTAAAGCTGGGCTGCATTGCACTAGGAAATTGATTGCTACCATGGAAATGGATCAAGTGGGCAACTTAAAATACACCTCACTACAACTTACACTCATGTCTCATCAGCTCTTAAATGCCATTCAACAAATCAGCCTGTCTTCAGAAGACAAATATTTAATTTGTAGCTGACATTCATTACAGGTTAAAGGAATACATTTGAAAAGGAACAGTTAAGAAGCGTTTCTCTACGAGCTGTATGAAAAAAATACAGCTATTTGACTGTCTGCAGTCTAAGAATAGTATTGACACATGCAACTCACCAAGATCTCCGGGCTTCCCTGAGAAATAAAGGAACGTGACTGATTCCTGGGGACAACAGCTTTGACGATGGGCACACCATCACTGATCCCCTAAGAGAAAGGACATGGGTTTGGTTTGATTATATCCAAGAGATAAAGGAAAGTCTAGAACCTGTAAGGAGTAAGGCCCAAAGCCTCCGGAATCAATGTCAGACCTGTACAGTACTCTAAGGCACTGCTACACACATATTCAGTTCATGCAGGTATGCTTTGTCAGAAACACTAGAAGTGAAACCCTGGCTCTTCAGTGAGTCCTCAGATACCACCACGGATGCTCGTAGCTTTCTTGGTGTGGTAACTAACTTAATACTCAAACAAGACCCACACAAGCGGCCAGCAGATATAAATCTATGGGGCTCAACCTCTATGAAGTTAACTGAAGAGACAGAGCTCACTTTATACACGTTCCATTCTAAAATATTTTCTTTAAATAGGAAGCAAGTTTATTTTCATCTATGTTGTGACCTTTTGTTTCAAGTACATCAGAAGTTTCAGATTAGACTTTAAACAATTTCAAGTAACACATCTACCTCTATGAAGAAGGACTTCAGTTCAGTGAGGTGTTGGAAGAGATTCAGAGTAGAGGTATCACTTTTAGTTAGTCTTTGCACTACCTCTTCTGCTGACAGCCTTTGCGGATGGGGCTCCTATAAGACAATATTTGAAGAAATATCAAATTAGACCAACTTACCAATTTGTTCAAGTCACATAAGATACTCAGAATCTTATTGGCAATCAACAGGAAAACAGACTCTTAAGCACCTAATTTCTCTTGTTAAAGTAAATGAGTTTATTTTGAACACGGTATGAGAAATTTCCATCAGTGCGACCTTCACCAATGGTAATGTGGCAAAGACTTAACATTCCTAAAATTACAAACTTATCTTACAAGCCATTTTTTTCCAATTTTTCACAGGTCCTTTGTAATTCAGTTGGATTTAACCACAAAGGTCTGATTGAAAGGAAACAAAGAACACTACCTTTAACAGCTGACAGGGTGTTTGCCCAAAATTGTTTATCATGCCTTCTAAAGCTTTCCTTTCTTTCTCATCTGTTAAAGCATCCAAATCCACAGCCCCTGGATCACAACCAGAATGATGAAGGGCAGAAAAAAGGAAAAAGAACATAATCCAAACAACTTATTGAGAACCAGTATGGTCAACAAATGTTGCAAAACTTTAATTAATGGCAGCATTATCACCCTTTACCCCAGAAAAGCCTTCAAACAATGTCTCCATGTAAAATACAATCTGAAAACTCCACTCTGCACATGGAATTTTAAGGGTATGTGTAAAGGCAAGAATTGCAGGATCTTGTCTTATCAAATGAATTGAATATACTTCATGCATGCAATCAGTTACACACAAAAGCCACCCAAAATTCACCTTTGGAATTAACAGACTAACATTTGTTGTTTATAAGCAACTTGCCTTTACTCCTAAACCACAAGAAACCTCTTCCCACAAATACTTTTAAGCAAGCAAATGGGAAACTAACAACCCCCCGCCCCAAGCTCTTTGATAAACAAAATACAAGCAACTGGAACAGCCCCCCCCCTTAAAAAAAAACCACTTTATTAACATTTCAGGTTCACAACTTCTGATCAAAGCATTAAATATTTGATGATATATTACAAGTTATGCTGCCATATTTCATCTACAATTTTGTTGCCTTACCGTATGCTACTGTATGGAATGCTCACAAACCAAGTGTTTTCTGTCTAATACTGAAAACCCACAAGTCTGATGACAATTACAAGATAGCATACTGCTTTGTACCTTCATAAGTACAATAATAGAACACATTGAGTGCCTCCACTGCAGCTGGTCCCCTCTGCTTGTAGCCAAAAATTAAATCTATCCATTCATGAAGATGAGCAGAAACGTACTCAGATTCCTAGAAGGAAAAAATGCTCTTGTAAGAATAAGGAAAGTATCGCTCTCTTCTTGAAGTATTTACTATTTTTTGTGAAAGAGATTTAATTCCTAGACTAAGAGTATCCACAAACTAGGTATACACCAATGGGTAGGGCAGAAGCATAAAAACATCCATTTGTGTTAAAGGAAGTTACTGCCAGGTAAGAGGGAAAATTAATACAGCAAAGCAGCACACCTAGACTATTGAAATGCAACTGTGCAAGGGAAGGAAAGCTGCTAGTTCCCTAGTACCATACAGAATAATCTATAAAAAGCAAGGGCAGCCTTATCACCTAAACCCACCTAATTCTGCATTTTATCTCCTAGGGCAACAAACACCCAAATGATCAGTATCTTGAGGGTCTTTCATTTTTTCTTTTGAGCATTTTATAAACATGCACAGTGCTTTTAACCGAAAGTTCTAATGGTACTTGTAATGTCAAATGTAACCACAGCTCTAGTTCGAATGTAGTCCCAGTATTTTACACTTAAGTCACAGTGACAATGTGTAGGTGTACTTTCTTTATCATTACTTCACACACATAAACATCATCTTACCAGAGCCTTCCTGTGTTTATAAATGAAGTCTTCTGGGGAGTGGGCCCATTTGGGGAGAACAACATCATTTACCACCTCTTTGGATATTTGAAGCTGACCTAAGTTAAAACCTAGTGAATAATTTGGAGAATTTTAAGAGTTACTACAAAATATTTCAAATATCTTGATTTCTCAATAAAGATTAAAAAGCGTTATTTTCTCAATGCAAGGGAAGGCCATTGAAAATTTCTTAATGTAAATCTTCAATAACCCTACCACTGACATCAGAGGCTAAGTTCTGCTCTGAATCTTCAATATGTTAAATGATACAGGATAACAATTGTCCAAAGCACCTAAATGACTTCGAAGCTGAAGTCCCAACCTCAAAAGTAGCGTTTATCATTTACACACCTATCTGTAAACATATCTGCATTTGCTTTGTTTTACCAGGATTAAGAGTCCAAAACATTTCAATGAGGTTATTCATAAGAATTAAGTTACTTTTAGGTTTAAATGACTGTAAAATCAAGGCTTCCAAGAAGTCTTAAATCCCACCAGCTTTCATTAGAACAACTCTAAATACTTCAATGAATTTCGAAAGCATGATTTGGTTGTTTCCAGTTTTTATAACTTAGAAGTCTAGTAGCCTGTAACTAGCAGCACAAACATACAAATACATTTTTAAATTGTCTTAGAGGTAGAGAAACAATTCCCTGTGCAATAAATGTGAATTAAAAAATGGCTAGGAGTCTCATATCAGAGTGCATGATGCTGTCTTTTCAGTCAGCATTATATATGAGTGAAACAGCTTTTTTTTTTTTTTTTTTTTTTCTTCTGATGGGTAACAAAACCATGAAACCTTACATGGCTCTAAAATCAGGTGCCTTAACACTGCATTGGAAGATAACAGTAACAAGCAGAAAATATGCTGGTTGCCTAGAACAAATAAAAGACCTCCCATGTTTGAAGATATCCAAACTCTATCACGCAATAGACCCAGTAAAAAGAATACTAGTATTAACTTTTGCTAACTATTTTATCAGTATCAGCTATTGCTAACTTCTTGAAACATCCAAATGAGCATCTCTGATACTTCACATTAGGTAAACAACACTATTTTTAGCCATCCTCAAGCCCCCAGTCTGAATTTTAAACAATGTTTAGGCTGCTGCTTACCACAACTAGCATCTTCATTAAACAGTTTGAAGCCAGCATGATGATAAATTTCTACAAGCACACTATAAAACTTAATAAGAAGTGCTCCATTACATTCACAAATTGTTGTAACATACAAGAACAGTTTTGTATGAGAATATTCTGAGCAGTCAGTTTACCATTTTGATTCTCCAGGAACTCCGGGAAGTAGAAGAACTCTGGGATAAGTTCCTTGACATCATTGGGGTTGTCCATGAGCGCCTGCCAGGTAGCAGGAATAGAGTGGAACTGCCTGTCAGCACAGTCAAATCTGTGGGTCAGAAAACCCAGGTTAGACTTTGGTCATTCCCTCAGTAAAATCGTAAGGAAGAACTATAAAGGTGCTGCTTATTTGCTCACAGCATACCTGCCACTTTGAAGCTGGATATGAAGTGTTGTGAAAGGTTCTACCCGAATGAGATAATGCATGACACCAGCAGCATTTGAATAATGTGTCCCATAGTGAAATTTGTCAATTATCCCAAGGGGATCCTCAAAATTCTCATATCTAAAAAAAAATAAATGTTTGTAAATACAACTGAGCACTACAGCTGATTTATAGTTGGGTTATACTTATTGAAGGCAAGGATTCAAATGAAGCGATCACAGCAATCTATAAGAGAAAAATACATTGAGTTCTATTAAACATGACGATTCCAATTCTGACTTAGAAAGTCCCTAAGCAAAAGACTACTGAAAGATAGAAATGTACACCGGATGAAGCCTTTGCATACCTGCCCTTACACTCTTCCCTAGGCATTTGCTATCAGCTGTCAGAAACTGGATACAGGGCAAGACAGGCCTGATTTAGCATGATTTTATAAAACAGACAAAATACTCCACATCACTAAGCTGAATATTTATTACTGAAGTGACTTGCAACAGTTTCCTGCAAGATTTAAACCCCCATAATTTAAAAAAAAAAAAAAGAGTGTGCGTTTGACTGTCATGTATTGAGAGATATTAGCTGTTTAGCTTAAATGAGCAAGCTTTAATTAGAATAAATTACTTAGGGTTATAATATGGTGTGATTTATGCTCTTTGCTTAGTTTTACTTAGCATGAGTAGCTAGATTTGCTGAAGCCTTTAGGCTGCGGTAGAGTTCACTTTCTTGGTAATTTTCCTAGCAGCTGGTACAGTGCTGTGTTTAGTCTTTTAATATAAGAAAAATGTTGGTAACACACTGATGTTTTGGTAGTGTTTTCCCTAAGTCTGGGACTTTTCAGTTCCCCACGTTCTTCCAACCAGCACAGGTGCACAAGAAGCATAAACCAGAAGATAAGGAAGCTACAACCATCAGTAGATACTGCAAATCAACAAGATAAGAGCAGTCAACACCCTGCCTGCCTGGACACAGAAAAAGAATCCAATAAGGTGTTAGATGACCCCAGACCAAAAACTACCACTGGACTAAAAGATGTGTGAACAGTGCACGAGGAGAAGCTGTATAGATCACAAGGGTGTACTTGCCCAGGGATTTCTTTGTTCAAGGTCCCTCCCTTTTTGGAGGGACCCATCCTGGGCTGACCTTGCTGCTGTACCTTTCAATTGAGTTACTTATTTTTATAAAATCTGACGCCCGAGACCCTGCTGTGGGAAACCTAGGGTCAAACCTGAAGAAGGAGGGAGCGTGCCCGTAAGCCTGTGTGTAGGGGGAGTCGAAGGGGGCACCCGTCGGTGCACTGGAGTCGCCCACTGTGAAGGTACTCTGGTCCGAGCAGTTAAAGAGTCGGATGATGTGTGTGTGTGACTCCTTGAATGGTATGTAAATGCTTGGGCAACAGCTTCTCCCTTTAACACAGGATGCAGAAAAGAGTTTTATTTAATACTCGTGCCTGTTTCGTTTACTGCTAGCAAATTTGCTCTACAGTACTATGCCACCACCTGGCTGATACATTCCTCAGTGCCACAAGGCTAGTAAGAGAAGTTATAGTTAAACATACTGCTAGAGAACCAATTTCATTACAGTCAGAGATAAAGCCTAATCATTCAAAGAAAATTCTCCATGTTCCAAGTTTTCAGAAGACAGCTGCTTTTGGAAGAAGCCTGGGAAGTGCAATCTGGTACGATGGCACACTCACCCCCCACACTAGCAAAAGACGAAGGATTGCTACGTTGATGTGTGGGTGTAAGTACTTGTCACTCCTACCTACAGAGGAGTTGCTGGAAGTCACCGAGCTATATTTTATTTCCAAGATAATCTATGCTTGAAAAAAGCGCAGGAAGCTCAGATTTAGGATCAATGCTACCTCTCAGCACAGGCAGCTGAACTCATCCGTATGATTTCACATTCCTTGAAGGACACATGGGACATTATGTCTCTTCAAGCTGCTGGGCCGTTAAATTAAGTGCTTCTACAGACTTTCAGTTTTTCATCTCCACAGCCAAGAAACAATTGAAAATTTACCACTAAGTTTTGTCATTTCAGTGCCATATAAGCTAACTAATCTGAAAGCAAGAGAAACAGCAAATCAACCTTTGCAAATGCCTCTCTAATGTTATAAAACTAGCTTTTAAAAATTCCACTGTCACCACTTTATTTTTAAAATGTGTTATTAGCCTGGAGGCTCAGAAGAGCCACTGAAATATAACTGAGTGTTCAAATACATACTTCTCTTTCACAGCCTTAGCATTCTTCTCATTTACCACCCCTATGGGTTTGGACAGATCCCGAAAGACTGCAGGATTATTCAGGTCCAGTTCTTCTGAAGTATAATCTCGTAAAATCCAGGGGAACTTAAAAAAAGTCAAAGATCAAATTGAGATCAAAAATCCATCTTTCAAAACAGAAAAAAATACATATCTTTGTCAAAAATTTAAAAATTATTTTAATTACCACAGGATATTGAGCAAGGTCATTGTAAGTTCGTCCTGCCATTGTGTTCAGCTGAATAAGGTAGTCAAAGTTGGATATTTCTCTATTCACCCATTTCTGAAGGAAAAAAAAAAACAAAAACTTATAATGGAAGTCACTATATCAAAGATACTACTATTGCAAATTACATGCCTTGTCAGTATTTATGTGCCAGAGCATAGTATAGGCACAAGTCTGTAAGAACAGTATGAAAGTCCACATTTAATACCTCCTAATAAAGTTTATTTTCCCTTTGATTCAGTGGCTGCACTACCTATATTTAATTGAAATCATGTTCCTGATTGATGCCAGTGCTGTTTTAAGTAGAGGGCAGCAGAAAACTAGCAGCCTCTGAATAAAAAAGGAGAAGAATAACAGAAATCAAAGAAACAAAAAGAAGGTAGGTAAACAGGTACTGAGAAAAGTGGGAACAGAACTTTGAAATCCATTAGAGTTCTAAAGTCAAAACTTATCTATAAATTGTTGTCCTGTTGGTTAACAGTACAGGAATTCGTGAACTAACATCGCACTTGTGCCTTGGCTCCACTATTATATTTTAAACTAAAGAACAGAGAGCGCTGTGTTCAGAAGGGCTCAATATCTGTCTGTAGTGCGATGGAGACATTTCATTACAGATGATATTTTCGCTACTTCAATATACAGCATGATAGCTTTTACCGTTAGGGAAACAAAGAAAAAACAAAGTATTTCAAATATTTTAAAATTCATTTGTAAAGCTTCCTCCCTCAGAGAAAACAATAATTTTGGCATAAAGAGATGGAAGATAAATATACATTTACTACATTTAAAAAGATTTATCCAGGTTTATGGTAATACAGACATTTTTACATTTTCCTTTTATACCAATATTATCCATTCCCTTTATACCATATTTCCTGCTTAATCTTCACATGGGTTTTGTTGAATGCCCCATAATGAAAAAGGTAGCAGGGAAAGTTATTTGCACACGTAGTGAAAGAAGTTCCAAAATGTGTACTCAAGATCATGGACTAAAAACAGAAGCAAGTCTGCTACGTGTTTTCCACGTTGGAACACTTGTCATAATCACATCAACAGAGCCTGGATCTATCCATTTACCTCACTGACTGTAAACACAAAACACAGCAATTCTAAAAATATGCATTTGAAAGTTCAGGGACCAGACTGATGATACAGCAGTTGGCAGTTGCCATCTAAACACAAGGGCGGGGGGGTAGAAAAAAAAAAAAGGAAAAAAAAGGGAAAAATCAGTAGTTCAGGACCTTCTAGGACTCCTTCAAGAAGCAGAGGAATGCTCTAGACCTTTTATACTGAAGTCTCATACCTGCATCAAACCTGAAGCTTTAAAAAGTTCCTGCGGAGATCTGGTCCCAGAAATATTTGGAGAACGCAGTGACAATATTCGACTATATACTTTATTTCGTACCTGTTAGTAAACAGCATTAATACAATTATTCTGGAGACTGAGGCTGACAAGTAAACAACTTCTCTGCTAATTAAAATGTGAAATAAATGGAACACAGTTACCCCTTTAAATACTTCTATCTCTTGCTGTGTAAAACGTTTGGACGTAGATGGATGTGACATCCTTCAGTTACAAGATATAAAAACAACGTATGTTATGAAGTGATTTTCTTTTTTTATGTAGATGCTACACAGAAAATCATTATCCCAAAGAAGTCTTTTAGGAAATACTGCTGTTGTTCAAATGAAGT